TACTCACAACATCAGAGCTCACCCATAATGGAAGGTGGCCCTGTCCTGGCCATCTCTGTCTCAACCAACTCCAAGTTCCTGGGCGGGGATTCTGATTGCCTGGGGCTGAATCAGGGTCTATCCCTGGTACTGCATTCTGAGATTTGAGGCCTGGGATCATGTGCCCTGGTGGCTTCCCTGGGTCCTCACTCCCTGGGAGGAGGGGGAAGCAGTTGAGGGCAGTGTCTCTAGTCGGTGTTAGCCGAGCAGGCGCCTCGCCAGCTTTCTGCTACTGTAACAAACACCCGGAGCAGTCAGCTGGAGAGAGGAAAGGTTCATTCTGGATCCAGTTGTGCATCCTTCTCCACGGCCTGGTGCCTGGTGCTGTGTCGCTGTCGGGCTTGGGTCGAGGCAGCGCCATAGGACGGGAGCATGTGCTGGGGGAAGCCAATCACCCCAGGGTGAGCAGGAAATGGGACGAGCAGGAGAGCAAGAGTGGGGTCCCAGCACCCGCTTCCAGGGCTTGTCTGCAGGTGACTTTCCTTCCTTCCTCCAGGCCCACCCCCGAAAGGTCCCCCACCTTCCAGCCGCACCATGGGCTGGGGACCAGGATTCAACGGGGGCCTTTGGGGGACATTCCACTTGGGAACTCTAGCGACAGATAACTCTGCTTTCTACTGTGATGGGTGACGATCCTTGTCCTACATCCCCCGACTCCTTTTCTCTAATGGCCTCAGAGTTTGTTGCCAGAAGTTCCTCCCGGGGCCTCTGCTCGCCCCTAGTCCCGCTTTCTTGGAAAGATCACCTTCCCAGGGGCTTGACCACCAGTCGCGACCCTGCCCCTCCCCCCACAGGGGCCTAGACCCCCGTGAGTGGCCCTGTCTAGAGGCAAGCATCTTCTGGGCGCCTCGTCCCCACCTCGTGCCTCTCAGCGTGCTGTCCCAAAGCCTTTTGAGTGCCCCTGTCTAATGGGCCCTGTGGTTGTGACAATTTCACAAACAGCCACCTGGGAGCAGAGCTGGGCAGTTGTGGAGCTGCACTGGGAACGCACAGTGGCTCCTGTTTTATATTTGAAAACCAAGATAATTCATTCATCTTCCATCAAGGGAGCCTTGTGCAGTGGACCCTTCCAGAAAAGGTGTGGAGGCAGCACCTGGAGAGGCGTATTTACATGGTGATGCCTCTGAGTTGAATTTATGCATGCTTTCAAATGTTAGTCTTCAAGTTTTCCGAGAAAAGCAACAATTCTCTCCGAAATTGCCCATTATGTGAAATGCAGGTGATTACTGCTGATTCACAAGGGCAGCGTCACCCAAGTGGTGAGATTGGGGCTTTGGCGCGGCCCATTGCTATGCACCGTCCAGGTTTATGTGTGTGCGCACAGCGGAAGGCATTTTAGTGGAAGGCATTTTATATAATTCCAAACAATTTAATAGAAATGTAATTCGACTGGGAAAACCACAGTCCGTCGGCCCTTTCAGAGAGCAGATAATGTTCCAGATTAAAGGGCTGGAGCTTTGTTCATTATAGTCAAATAACGTGAGCGTGTGAATCACCGTTTTTCTTGCCGTTGGTGTATTTCAGAAGTGTGCCATTTTCCCATTATAATAATAGGCTACATTTTCTTAAAATCATTTGATTATGATCGGTCCTGTCTATTCAGTTTGCAAATAAAAAGCTTTTGCGGTGATAAACTAGCTGTTCCCAGCAGCCTCAACCTCTGCTTCTGCCTTTGAACCGCCACAGGTCAGACCCTGCGAAAGGCTCAGAGAAGTCGGTCCTGCTCTCGGGAGAAAAAGGAGGTAAACGTGCCACTCGTGAGGGCCAGGGGGAGGCCGATGTGTCTGAAAGGAGCTGGGGAGCCGGGTGGTAAATAAGTATGCTGGGTCCTTCTCTTCTTTTCTTACTGAGTTCTCAACTTGGATCCTAGACCAAATTAGAGTTGGCAGCTAGACTTGTCAACCCAGTGTCACTTAGAACAGTAATGTCTTCCAGATCATATCAGTTAGCTGCATGTAATAAATCACTCCGATTTCAGTGGATTAAAATGTGCATTGGGTTCCTGGTTCTATGAATCGGCAGTTTGGGCCTCCCCGGTGGTTGTGCTGAGGGGCTGGCTCTGCTGATTCTGGGGACCCCCCTGCGTCTGCACTCACTGCTGTTTCCCCGGGGGGCACCCTGGGGTCCGGCGGGGTGTCATTTCTCCCCACAGGTTCTCATCTCCCAGCAGGCTGGCCAGGGTTGCCCATGTGGGGCGTCTGGGTTTGAGAGTAGGAGAGTGGCAGCTGCAGGACCTCTTGAGTCACAGGCCCACAACTGGCACTTTGTCACTCGTGCCACTTTTTAAAACGAAAGGATATTTGCAAGGCTCACTGGGTCCAGGAGCTTCAAAGCAAGTCACAAGGTCAGCCCAGACTCCAGGGGTGGGGCAGAGTAAGAACAGGGGAGCGGGGGGGTGGGGGGGGGGAGGCCAGGCCTCACTTCCTGAGGGAAGGAGCCACAGAACGTTATGGCTGGCCTGAAGCCTCCCCTGACTGTCAGGCCTTGGGGACGGGGACTCAGTCACTGTGTGCACTGTGTGGTCAGAAGAGATGGGAGCGGCATCGTCACAGTGGGCAGAGGAAGCAGGAGGGTCGTGCAGGCCCTGGGCCCCCCAACTGCCAGCACCGTCCACGAAGGTCACTGCAGGCTGCCTCTCAAGGAGGACTGTTCTCCAGGCCCAGGGAGCAACACGGTCAAAGCCAGAGCGACGCCAATAAGGAAAGTTGCAAGTTCTCCGAGCCTGAGCTGGGTGGGAAGCCATGGCAAGGACACAGGTCACCACAGGCCCTCGGAGCAAGTCCCAGGCTCATGGGAGTTTAAATTAGTCCTCATTTAGTGGCACGTGGGTGCAGGGTGCCGGGGAATGAAGTGCGTGACATCATGATGGATACCCGCTGATCCTGAAGTCATCGACACTCACCCTGACACTTCTGATGGCACAGTGATGTCATTCCAGTGACAAAGGGCATTTGTCAGGTCAGCTGGGTCCCAGGGCTCAAAAATGGCCCAAAAGTTGGCTCTTTCTCTTTCTGTTGCTTTCCTCTTGCTCTCGGCCAGCTCTGAGGAGGTGTGCTGGGCTTGGGCTGCAGAGGCCCCGGGGCCCTGCTGGGCCTGTCCCCTCTGCAGCGTGGGCCGCTCCTCTGCCTCAGTCCACCCACCTGGTTAGGGCCGGGAGCAGCGCAGGCGTCTTGCTGCCGCTGAGCTCTAACTGTGGCCTGGGTGGGCCTCTACTGTGGCCTGGGTGGGCATCTGCTGTGGCCTGGGTGGGCATCTGCTATGGCCTGGGTGGGCATCTAACCTGGGCGAGCCTGGGTCCCCTGCTCTGATAGCCTGCAGCCCCCTCCGCAAGTGCCAGCGGTGGAGACCAGCGTTCAAGGGGACTCGTTGCCACCTCCCCCGGGCCTTGGGTCACGGAGCAGTGGCGCCCCCCACTCCCCCACCTTGGGCACTCAGCTGGGAAAGCTCGCCGCAGGGCGGGGCCACCGGTGCTCTCCCCTCCTTGGTGACCGGGCTCCTCCCCTTGCTGGGGAGCATGTAGGAGCCTGTAGCTCCTACCTCTTCTAGAAAGTGCTGGAAGGAAAACAAAGAGCCGGGCTGTTAATCTCCACCCCAGGCTCAACCCAGAGACTTAAGAGATTTAAGATGGTTTCTGGCTTCTGAGAAAAGAGGGGGCCGCCTTTCTTCACGGGGTTTTTGTTTGGTTAGAGAAACAAAAGAAAGAGGCGCAGAGGGGCGGCCCTCTGCTCTGTCGCAGCAGCCTCCCCGCCAAGTCCTGGGCCGTGAAGCAGGGACTCCCCCCGCAGTCTGTGGCTTCTGCAGGTTGCCAGGTCCAGATCAGGCCCCGTCCCCAGGAAAGGCAGGGAGGAGACGAGCATCTCTTTCCCAGAGCAGCTTGGAACAGCTGCTAGGCCCGCGTTGAGCTCGCGTGGCCGGCTCGCTCCCTGGCTGGGGTGCCCGGGGTCCCCCCAGGTAGGGACTGGGGACACCTCCCAGTGGTCCTGGGCCTGCCTGGTGAGGGGAAGAGGGAGGCTGCCCCATGAGCTTGCCAGGCCAGAGTCGTCCAAAGGTAAGCTGGGCCTGGCCCACACCCTGTGACAGCTTTGGGGGAAGCAGGCGTGCCCCGGTTTGGACGAGGCTGGGCTCACCTCCACACGCCATCTCCTGGCTTCTTTGGAAAAATAAGGAACCACTGAGTCCTTACTCCTACCAAGTATCCATGGGCAGTGGCCATGATCAGTGTGGCTGCCCCTTCAGATGGGGTCCCCAGTTTGCCATCCCTGCCCCCCACCTGCTTGATATCAAGCAGGTCCACAGTGACCATGTCCCCACAGGGCCTGGCACTTTTTGTCAGAGGTCCCCAACTGCCACCTATTGGAACCACCTGGAATCTTTAAATGCCCTGATGTCAAGGTCCGTTCCCAAGCCACTAAACTAGAACCTCTGGGGGCGAGGCCTCGATGTCAGCATTTCTTAACCCCCCCCCCCCAGGTGCCACGTGGCGGTGTGGGTGTGAACCAGGGCTTCCTTGCATGAGGTGGCCCCTGGCTCTGGAGCAGGAGCTCTGTACGCCACTGGCTCAGAGCCCCTGTGCTCCCCGCGTCACAGACACCAGAAGACGCACATCAGGAAGCCAAGAGTTAGCCGCATACGGGAGCCTGGCAGCGCCCGTCCAGGAAGACTTCCTGGGAGAGGCGGCTTGAGCTGCGGCCTGGGAAGGGTCACAGTCATTTCTGGAAATCAGAGCACAGTTAGTTTGCGCAAAGTCAGTAAATTCTTTCAGTTCAGCGGGTAAAAATATTCTCTGGCTCGTCTCTAACAAGTAGCCATGGTTCCTGCCTGCAGAGATTATGGAGTGTTTATGGCCCTTGGTCATGAATTATTAATGCTTTTGAAATTGTGGTCATTGTAGTTTACTCAAAAATCATTAGGAAGCCAATTTATCATACAGTGCTTAAAAAAAAGAAAAAAAAGAATGAAAATCACTGAGGAGGTTGAAATCTTTATTCAGTCCCAATTCCCCAGGGTCCACGCTGGTGCCCAGGGCACTGTGCAGCTCACAGGCCTGGGGCTGGGGTCATGTCCTCCTGTGCAGAGCCATGGAGGCCCCTGCCACTCTGTTGGTTAGTACCCATGATGTGCCTGGAGGGCTGTGGTGCAGGTCCTGAGTCCCCGAGTTAAGGAGATCAGCCGCAGATCCCATGGTGTGACCTCGTCGTGTCCCTGGACCCCTGTGACCTGTCTCTAATGCCCTCTGGTGAGCTGGCGTAGAAGCTGAGGGCAGCCATGCATTCAGGTACCTAGAGTGGCAGTGAGAGGGGCACGTTGCTCCTCCCCCTGCAGGGGCCTGCTGGCTCCCTCCAGACCACAGGCGGACCCCTCCAGCCTTTCCTGTGTGTGTCCCCCGGCAGCCTAGCCCCCGATGCCCATTCCTAACACTCACAGCCACTTGTGATCATGGACTGCCATCTTTTGCAGTTGATTGAAGATCCCCAAAACTGCTGTTGACAGTGCTCACATCTGCCGAGCTCGCTTTGTAAAGAACTGCAGAAGTCGTTTAACTCTCCCACCTAGAAAACGCCACACCTCCCCTCTGCATGGGCGTGCACACACATGCCACTTCCTGTTATTAGCAGAGACTTTGGTGTAAGACTAGAGGCTCCCTTCACTTTTCCCAAGCAGAGGAGGAGACAGAGGTCTCAGGGGAACACAGGAAAGGAGACAGTGCTTGCAGGCACAAGGTTTTCTGGACACCACCTCTGTCTCTTCAGTGCACCACCACAAGCACCGTCTCAGCATCTTGCTGCTGTCTTGACGCTTCTCTCTACTGGTGGCTCTTCATCTAGGAGTTCAGTTCACAGGCCAGAGGGAGAGCCTGGTCCCCTGGCTAATCAGCACGTGAGAATATTCATCAAGGCAGGTGGGACTGAGGGTATGGGGTAGCTCAGTGATGGAGAGCTCGCCTCGTCCGCATGAGACCCCTCCCCAGCCCCACAAAAGGAAAACAAAGGAGAAGGAGGAGGAGGGGTGTTTGAGGATCCAGTGCTTCTAGCACCAGCCCTCAGTTCCCACTGTAGTCAGCTCCTTCTGTGCCCTTCCCTGAATACTCCACAGTCTCCAACTACGCAGAGTGTGTGTTCTGGCTCCTGTGCCACCTAGCCATGCCCTCCTTGTCCAACATGGCAATGACACCCATTATTTTGTTCCTGGATTATTATTAGTAGAAGTATTAGTAGTTTTACACCTTATTGTGTCTTGGAGAACATTCCTAGCAGGTTGCATGGGCAGACCTCATTCTTTTTATGGCTTTATCTCATTACAGATATACCAGAACCCAGTCCTTCATTAATACCAGTTGTGTGCGGTAATGCATGCCTCTAATTCAGCTGCTCAGGAGACTGGGGCAGGAGGATCCCAAGTTAGAGGCCAGCTTAATGGAGATGTAGTTTTGTGGTAGAATATCCCTGGGTTCAATTCCCAATTACCCCTCCCCCCCAAAAAAAAGAAAAGAAGAAAGAAAGAAAAGAGACCATCCTAGTAGGGCCTAGAGAAGTGTCCTGTAATCATATACATTAATATATGTGCAGCAAAATATGAATATTCATCCAGAGTGAGACGTATAAAGGTCATACATTTCATGTCCACTTGGATGGGATTTTGCTGCTAAATGATTGCATAATGCACTAGAGGGTCCTGGTTAATGAATGTCTAGGCTATTAATAGTCTTTTGCTACCCTAAGAATCAAGAGTGTCCTAAAGCACATCTTTGTGCACATGTGCAGAAATAGCCAAAGGTTAAATTTCTTAAAAGTAGAATTAATGGATCAAAGGCTGTGTGCTTCATTGAGATCAATGTGTCCACTTCATCTCCTAATAACGCACAAGAGGGGCAGAGCTCTCTGTTCGAGGCCACCTTGTTGAGTGCTGGCCAAGTTCAAGTGTGGCTGTCCTTGGCAGCAGTTCCCGCATTGAAGCCTTGGGTCAGTCTCTTGGGAAGGACTTGGGGGCATGTCCAGCGCCTCGATTTCTGAAAATCTCTTACAGCCTTAGCTCAGAGCCCCGTCCTGGCTGCCTGCAGGAGGCCGGGGGACTGGCCACTCTCCTGTCGGTTCTGACCCCGCTGGTGAGAAGACGGCAGGCCCTTCTCCCTTCTTCCCTGCAGTTCTCAGTGTCCTTGCAGCTTAGTCCTTGGGCCACCGGGAGCTGTCCCTCCACATTTACAAGAGCCCAATTGCCCTTTTTGAGGGGGGTGCAGCTCAGCGACAGAGCACGGGCTTAGCTGGCACAGGGCCTCGGGCTCCGTCCCCAGCACTACCTGCCTCAAAACATGTGAGTGAAAGAGGAAGAAAGACAAGTAGGCATGCGGGCTGGCGAGGCAGCGTTACGGGAGCCTGCAGGACAGCTGACGTTCCAGATGGGCACTTCTCCTGGAATGAAACCTCTTAGTTCGTGTTTCTGGGCAGACAAGAGCGAAATCCGTTTTGGGTTCAACTGCCAGATGAATTCCCAGTTATCACGGCCAGTCCTTTTGACTCTTGAGGTCTTGGTCTCTGTAACTTAGAGAACTTGGAGTGGGTAGGGCCCCTGCAACATTGGCCACTTGTGATTTCTGCAGGGTTGGAAGCAGGACAGTGAAGTGTTGAGCCTGTGAGCCCTGGAACCAAACAGCCTGGGTTCCTCGACCAGGCACGTGACTTAACCTCGCCGTGGCTCGACCTCCCTTCTCAAGGGTAGGGATGGCAGAACCTGTGGCACGGCACTGAGGTGAGGAGTCAGTGAGTTCACGTGGGCCAAGTGCTTAGAACGGGGCTGGCACATACTAGCAGCTCAGTAAATGTTGAGGATTGTGATTTAGGAGTGGCAGGGAAAGTAGCTTTGGTGATAAAGCTGATCCTTCAAAGACAAAAGGTCAGGGGTGAGTCTTGCCGGGAAAGAGCAGGACTCAGTTTGGGCCAGTGTCCCTCACTCATTTGGTACCATCATGTGTGCCGGGCGAGGTGACGCACCCCGTAATCCCAGCAGCTCAGGAGGGTGAGACTGGAGGATTGTGAGTTCAAAGCCAGCCTCAGCAACTTAGTAAGGCCACAGGCAACTCAGTGAGACCCTGTCTCTAAATAAAATATAAAAAGGGCTGGGGATGGGGCTCAGTGGTTAAACACCCCTGGGTTCAATCCCTGGTACCAAAGGGGGGGGGCATGTAATCTGTCCCCCTTGGGAATGACCTTGTGACTGAATCAGCCACCTGCCCCAGGCTCTGGCAAGCAGGTAGGAGCTGCAGGAGACACGTACACAGACACAGCCCCTCGTAACCCCAGTTTAACAGCAGCAGGGCCAAAATTTGAACCTCGAAAAGCAGAGAGGATCCATTTCTGATGCAATGCCAGGGAGGACAGTGACGTGTCTGGGGCCTCCTGGGCCAGCTTAGCTCCCAGCACCGACTGAACCAGAGGAAGAGCCCCTCCGAGAGCTGCAGCTGGACCAGGAGATGTGATGACGGCTTCCCTTCCCGGCCTCAACAGAGCATCCGCAAAGTTTGCTCGGTCCTCAAATCACAGGCATGAAATTGCCTTTACAGTGTCCCTGTCACCTCCTCCCTACACTCGGAGAAGTCAGCTTGTGGGGTGTGGAATATGATTAGAAAAGAGTGGTATGATGTAAGAAAGGGAGGCGCCTGCGAGTGACCCCTGGACGGCGTGTCTCCAGGTCACAGGCAGCCCTGGGGACTGCCCCTCCGTCTCGGGCAGGGGCCTGGAGCACACCAGGCCATGTAGGCCCCCGTGCTGCCGCTGTCACTGAGCGTGAGGACACTCCTCTCTCCTCTGAGAGCCTCTGTTTCCTCTGGGTTCCCCAGGCCTGGCAAGAACCAGCAGTTCTGACTGTAACCTCATCGGGGCCCGGGGGCCAGGTCTCCAGACCCTGCTCAGATGGTAGAAGCCCTCCTGAAGCCAGCTTCGGTGAAAGAGGGAATCTGTTCCCAGGGTGGGTGGCAGCAGGCATGGCTGTATCCAGGTGTCCTGACTCAGCCCTCTGCGCCCTGCTGTCCTGCACGACGGGTCCGTTCTCAGCAGGCTTTCAGTGGTAAGACAGCTGCCAGCTGCCCAGGCTGACTGCGTGGAGATGAGATGGCATCGGGAGAGAGCCTGGGCCTGGAGCCAGGAAGCCTGGATGATCCTGGCGCAACACTTACCCACTGAGCCTCAGTTCCTTCACATGTAGAATGGGTGTCTGTCACCGGGGTGGGGGGGTTAGAAGAGGGCCTGGCACATTGTGGCACTAGCCAGGCTCAGTCTGGCACCATCCTGGGGACATTAAGATGGTCAGAGAGGGGCGTCTTCCCAAAGGAACATAAGGACCACAGAGAAAGGGTGGAAAAGGGGAAAGGGTGGCGGGCAAAGCCAGGCGCCACTGCCTGGCCACTTTGTGGAGGGAATGGCAGAGCCAAGATGGCATAGTCACTCCAAGTGGCTTTCAGCTGGGCACCGTGGTACATGCCTGCAGTCCCAGTGACTTGGGAGGCCAAGGCAGGAGGATTGTGAGTTCGAGGCCGGCCTCAGCAACTTAGGGAGGCCCTGAGCAACTTAGTGAGTCCCCATCTCAATAAATAAATAAGTCTGGAGACATAGCCCAGTGGTAAAGCACTCCTGGGTTACATCCTCAGTATTAAAAAAAGAAAGAAAAAACATGTAGAAACTTAAATTGTTTCAAAAAATGTTCTTTGGGTCACTTGTATTTTCATTTCACACCTGGGAGATGGTTGTCACCAAAAAAAATAGAACAGCAGTGGTGGAGGGCCAGGGTCTGGGCTGGACTGTCTGGGTTTGCATGCTGGCAGTACCACTCAAGGATGGTGTGACTTCTGGAAAGTTCTGAAACCTTGGTGTCTCGGTGTCCTTATCTGCAAAATGGAACTGAAAATAGTACCTCCTGGTGGGCTGGGCAGGGAGTCCAAAGAGTGGCACATGTAAGATACCCGGAGCCACACCTGCCGGCGCCAGGGCTGGCTGCTCCTCCACTCGGCCCCAGGTCCTTCCCGCTCTGTCCACTGGGGTGGTGGGCTCAGGGCAGAGGGCAGCAGAAGTGTGGTGACACCTGCAGCCCCATCCCAGTGGGCCAGACACTCGGAGTCCCTGGTTTCCAGACTAATGCCACCGACAGCAGAGAGATTAGAACATGCAGAAAGGCATAAAAATCCTCCCCCATTCTGGATCGTACCTGTTACTTGTTTAGATGTTGCCTTCCCACTTTTTCCTGTACAATTACATATATTTCAGAATTAGACTCGTCCTTTAATTAGGGACAATGAGTACCTTCCATTATTCTTAACTTTTTATTTATTGAGGTATGACTTATGTATAAAAAAGTAGATGATCTTTTTAGTTATTTATTTTTATATGGTGCTGAGGATCGAACCTAGCACCAGGCAAGCGCTCTACCGCTGAGCCACAACCCCAGCTCCCCCAAAATAGACAACTTAGGAGTAGAATTGTATGAGCACTTATGCAGGAATACACCTGAGCTGACACTGCCCACATCAGCAATGTGGAGCATTCCTCGGG